TTTGTTTGTAATTTAAAATTAACAACTATTCACTAAATGCATATGAAAGTATATACGGTACATACATCAAAAAATAATTAAAAAAAATTGCAGATTATTAAATATGTATTTAAGGATGGTTTATGTATATGTGTATATATATATAAATGTAGTTATTTATTAATATATACTTTTATGTGTATCGTATCATACATTTTTATATTTGCACAGCCAACAATTATTCTCTGCACCACCCATGATTGACTGGTAGATAATGCCGCATGGTGTTAAGTCCGCCATATGTACTTTCAAATTATGTGCATTAAATAAATAAATAAACAAATAAAAGGAATATAGGAGTATTTCTCGATATGGTAAAAATTGAAGAAATTTGAATATTTATTACTTTATTGTAAAAATTGTCTATGATGGTAAAAGTTACACTTCTGGTATGCAGTCAGGAAGCTAGTCAATATTGCATTTCATTTGATTTTTTTTTTTAAATCCTTGACAGTGAAAACAAAACATTGATCAAATCCGTATCAAGACCCATCTCTAACTAGCAACAATTTTCACTAAGTTAATTTGTTGTACTAAATAAATTAAGTGCCAACTAAGAAACAATTACGTCGGATGCACTAACACTCAGCGAGCTCACAACATAATTGGCTTTGTAATTAATTCTTGCAAATAGTTTCAGCTAGTTCCTACTATAAGACTGGGGCACTACTTGTACCAATAACTATTATAGCTACATATATAGAAATTATAGCTACATATAAATAGACTACTTATACTTAATATAATTTTAATAGTTGATATTAAGATAATTGAAAATTAGAAGTTTGATAAATGGATAGAAAAAGGACTGAAAATTGAACAGTACCTATGACTCACTTAGCTTGAAATTAGGCTCAAATGTGAAATTAATCATTATTAAAGGGGTTTATTTTACATTCTAAAGTTGATTTTAATTTGTTTTATTTCCTCGTGATTATTGGCCAATGTTAAAAAAGGTAAATATTTCATTCCTCTCCTTCTTTGTACTATATATGTGGCGAAATATGTACGCAATGAACGTGTTACAGAGCTTGTAATGTGATAAGAAGGCAATATATTGTCGCGCAGCGTTCGGCTTGTCGCAATTTGGGCGCGCCACGAGAGGCCCTGCTACAAACAAAACGTCCAATTTTCAAGTTTACGACGCGATTCGAATGTGGGAGTTCTCCCAAGGGATAACTTTTAGTGTTTTTCAATAAAATTGAGATATTTTAATAGGTACTCTATACGTTTACACCTTACACAACTCATAATATTAAAAAATGACAATTAGTATTTTATCATTTTGTATATCATATACAAAGTTATGAAATAGGTAATTCTTCTTTGACTTCATAATAATTTAATGTCCTTTTCTAATTCAACAGTACTTGCATGTAAAATTTCATAATCATTAATCGGTTAAGGCTCTAAAAGTACATAATAAACTAAATTTCATGTTTACAACTAATTTTAACTAACGATAAGTATTACTCTACGCATGAGTTTAAAACGTACATATTTTATAATCATTAATCGGTTAAGGCTTTAAAAGTACATAATAAACTAAATTTCATGTTTACAACAAATTTTAACTAACGGTAAGTATTACTGTACGCATGAGTTTAAAACATACATATTTCATAATCATTAGTCGGTTAAGGCTTTAAAAGTACATAATAAACTAACTTTCATGTTTACAACAAATTTTAACTAACGATAAGTATTACTGTACGCATGAGTTTAAAACATACATATTTCATAATCATTAATCCGTTAAGGCTTTAAAAGTACATAATAAACTAACTTTCATGCTTACAACAAATTTTAACTAACGATAAGTATTACTGTACACATGTGTTTAAAATTTACATTTTATGCATCAACGTTCTATGTCTGCTAAGTACACCTTTATTTATATATTTGTGCATTGAAGTTTAAGAAATAATAAATGAATAAAAATATTATACATATTTTTAAAATATACATTAAACCGTAATTTTTTGTATTTATTATAATCACTTTTAGAGCTACTTAATTTCAGTTATGAATTCACATAATCAAGCAATTATATTCTCGCTAAATCGAGAGAACCTATATGATCCCATGGGTGAATAAAAATGTAAAATAGAATTATTTTTCTCTTATTATGTTGATATTTCAACATGCCAAAAGCAAACATGTAGCAAAAACATCAAAGTTGACTGGGGTATATGTTTGGGTGGAGGTTTATTTACCGCCCACCGGGCCGGAGTCAAACGTTTTGTGTTTACGTTGTGGTAGGTACATACTCCTCGCTCATTAATCAATGTTTTTGTACCATTTGCCAACGTGTCACTGTTCCTGTAAATAAACTTCTTTGTATGTACGTCTTGTCGGTATTTGCTTTGCAATATAAGATTAGACGGTCCAATTTTAAGCGAAGGCCGTAACACAACTATGTTATAATTAAGCGCATTGATTTTAATATTAATTGATTAAATATTTATATATGATTTACTAAAAAGTGGACATGTAGTAAATTAGAATATTGATGCAATAATATTATTACTGAATCGATTTAATCGATTTTAAAAAGTAATTTTTATAATTTTATTATATGATTAATGTTTTATTTCTCTACAAGATCATCTATAATAAGTCCGATACCAGGAATTCCTTTGGTTTTTATGGGCTGTGTTAATCACTTATCATCGGATGTAACACTCAGTTGCTCTAACTTATTTTATTAAAAAAAAATAATTAATAAGCATGATCAGTACTGACAGGACATCTAATGTCCGACTTTTACCACTTACTCGTACCATCAGGTGGACCGTCAGCTTGTTTGTATTCACTTACATAAGAAAAATTGTGTCTACATGTATTTCATTTCATGGATTCACCGTTTGATAGTCATTTTTGGTTAGCAATCATTATTATTATTACTTGACTTTATTTTATACTATTAAAATAAAGTCGCTGTCGCTGTCTGTCCCTATGTGTGCTTAAATTTTTAAAATTACGCAACGGAATTTAGAAGCGGTTTTTTAATAGATAGTGATTCTAGAGGAAGGTTTATATATATAATACATGTATGAATAGCTAGTAGTATATAAAATTCAATTATCTGTTTGTTTTTTACAAAACTTAAGATAAAGTATGATTTTCTATTCGTCAAGAATATTTAAAGGAGTAACCACTTGTGTTGTAACCACTGTTACACAAAAGCGCCATCTGTGATTCTTTCACTCAAATTTTTGTGCTGTAAAGTGTTAAGGGTTACCAATGCTTTTCTTCTACTAGGAATATTGTAACTTTTCTAATGCTTTTTCTTGTTATGTCATTTAATAAAAGAGGGCACTACTGTTAAATTTTTACACTTATAATTTACGAGTTAAATAAACAATGCAGTAAATTCAACCTACAATATTACCAAAAATTACAATTTGATATTTAACATTCATCATATAAAATATTTTGTAATCATTAAAAAAATATTGTATTCGAATCGAATAGTCCGGTTTTTAAGTAAAAACTTTATGTAAATCTTATTTGTATGAGTATCAGCTATACGTAAGTACAGTTATAAATCACTATCTTTAAACAAAACATATATTTAATATGAATAATTTTATTGTGCAGGAACTCGAGAAACCAACGACGGCAAGTAATCGGGTGTGCTAAAATTTAGGTATAATATGCTTTTTACTCACGAAAGGAATGTCAGGTAAGCTTGATAAACAATAATGTTTAATTCAAATCCTTATGTCTACCTAACTTATACTTTACACGAACCTGTCCATGTCGAAATAATTTTGCAATATTAATTATATAATATATAATTAATTTTGCAAAAAATAAAATGTGCAAATGAAAGCAATGTTACTGTTATTATTTACTATAGTTGATTGTTACCTACATAACCGCTAGATCACTGAGGTTGACGTATTATTTAAGAAAGTATTTTTTAAATAGTTTTAGGGTAGAATAGAATAGAATAGAATAGAAAATCATTTATTCAAATAAACTTACATTGAAGCACTTTTGAATAGTCATAACATTTTTTTTTTTTTTTTAATCTACCGCTCATTCGGAATGCTGTTTCATCACAAGAAGAACAAGCAAGAAACTTGTGTGTTGCTCTTTTAAATAATTTATTCTTACTTACAATTTAAGTTTAAGTGTGTGAATACAAACCACCGATTAGCACCAAAAAGAAAAAAATATTGAATACATAACCAACTGGTTAAACAATTAATAGATCATAGTGATTAGAGCAGACCAGTTACAAGACACCCGTTATTATTGACGGAATCAGTATTTTTAAATAGTTTTAGGGTGAGATTAGAATATACAATTATAGAATATACAATTATTATGAAACGTACTCTAGTATACAATATGAGGACATATTAATTAAATACAACGGCTACTCCAAATGCAATTGGGAACAGTCGAGCTATTTCTAGCTCCCGCCATGCAGTCGTGTTCGAGACAAAATTACATTACAGCCGTGCAAGAAAATAGCTCTAAATCCATATTTTATCAATATATTATTATTCTGACAAACGTAATTAATTATAAACAAATTAGTGGCTTCATATGGGTAGATATTATTACAAAATTATTCTTACGTTAAATTAAATTATTGTTGTCAATGGAATTGAAATTCAATTTATTCTTGCAATGTTTCCTGACTTTCTCCTTATTGAATGTCCACGGAAATAGGACTATTGGTGAGTATTATTTTTATAAATAAAACTATCAGCCCGCTCTTGCTTTGCAATGAAAGATATATGTTTATATTTAAATGGTTTGCGCTAATCTGTTGAGAATTGTTTTATCCATTACAAGCAAAACAAATTTTTCTCTATGATCTTTCTAAAATAAAATTTACAATATCTAATTAATGTTATGTGTCTTAGACATCATGCCTACTTTATTTAATTTAACTTATTGAAGAACAAGTCTCCAATTTTTTTTTATCACGTACAGGTGCGGTATTTGATGATGGTGGCTTTTTATTAGAAGCTGCTTTTAGTTTGGCAGTTATTACTGCATCAGACGGACAAGAAAGTCCATTTGAAGCAAATGTCATACGAACGTCACCAGGTGATTTGTTAGAAGCAGAAGAAGCAATGTGTTCGATTTTAGAAGTTAGTATGCTATGGTATTGTTTATATTCATATACATGTATTAAGTGCCCGACTATTTCTATTTGCATATACAACATAAAGAAATGTAGTTTACAATAAAAATTTTATTTTTACTTTACAAAAATATACTTTGATAAGAAGGTATTTACATAAAAAAAACTATTGAAATAAATTCCCGAGTATGCATTACTATAAATCACAGATAAAACAATATTACATACTGCAAATGAATGATTGATTTTTGTTTCTGCATTCTTTGACACCATCCAAGTCATAATTATTATAATTTATTTAAATGATTCTAACTAATAGACTATAGTTTTAAACTGTAATTTATAGAACTATGTATACGCAAGAAATAAAAAGGTGTTTTTCCATATTTCTATTATTTAAATATTTCACAGTTACGATCCAATATATAGTACCGGTAATCATTTATAATAATAATAATAATATGATTTATTTATTCATTCATTTGTAACAATACAAATAAAAATTGTATAATTAAAATTATACCTACATGAATAAAGATATTTTATGTTATATTACAATTTAATATGTTTGCAATACAAATAAAAATTGTATAATTAAAATTATACCCTTATGTTATATTACAATTTAATATGTTTGCCTTTAAAGGCAAGGATTTAAATCCCATAAATTATTAATTGGATTGTATAAAAATTTTAACTTATCATTCGAGGAAATAGAACCATTTCAGCATAACATAGGTAAAGTAAATATGATATTTTAAGTTTATAAATATAATTTCAGAGTAACGTTTTCGGAATATTTGGACCAACAACTAAAGGCTCTATAGAGAGCATGCAATCTATTGCGGATTATCTCGATGTTCCACATATTATTATCGAACCAATGGAAACGCAAAATCGTAACTGGTCTGTAGTTAATTTATATCCCAATCATATCGCTTACTCACAGGTAATACTTTTGTGTAATTTAGTCAGAGAATCAATCGGCAGAAGTTATTTATACTGCAAAAGTTTTCAATCTTTTAGGTTTTTGCAGACATTATCGTAATGAAAGGTTGGAAAGAGTTTACGATAATTTATGAAGGTGCAGAACTTCTGTCATTTTTGGATAATATATTAACCATGCAGGATTTGGAGTCAGGGGAACATGTTTTAATGCAAGTCGTTCAATTACCTGATGGAGATGACTATCGGTATTTTTTAAAATAAATTTAATATATAAAAATGTTTTCTTTTTGTACTCTGTTAGTCGTAATGTTAATAAATCAATAAAATTTTAGAATTCCTTTGAAAAATGTAAAAGCTTCTGGTTCTGTTAATTATATCGTACATTGTCGTAAAGAAAGTTTACCACAGTTTCTGGAACAAGCTCAGCAGGTCGGAATTATGTCTGATGACCATAGTTATATCATAATGAATCCAGACTTTCAGACAATTGATATAGAGCCTTATAAACACGGAGGTTCTAATATTACAGGTAAGAACAGTGTTATGCTTGGAAAAAGTATAAATTCAGTGGTTGCAAATTATGGTAATAATACACAAGTCAAATATACATTTAATAATGTGTATTTGACGTAATTAATAATACTAATTCACTTGCCTGTTTTCAGGTATTAGATTTTTTGATCCGATGTTAGAAGATATTCAAAACTACATTGTTTCCTTAAATGGGAAAGTTGAGGAATTATCTGATGGTCAGATAACAAATGCCATTGTAGATAATGCGATTACTCTTGATCTAGCATTACTTTATGATGCTGTGATATTATACACAACGGCACTTAATGCTATGAGATTAGAAGAAGCTGCAAATGTCACATGCGAATCCGGGGAGAGTTGGAATGTAGGATCCAGTATTATAAATTACATTAAGGCAGTAAGTAATTATTTCGGATATTCGTAGAAAGGCCGGCTGTGCTACCAGTATCTATCTATAGATTTATAGTTACATTAACTTGAGGTTTAGTTGACTAAACCTCAAGTCAATCACATCACATCAACTTACCACGCGAGTTCTCAGCAGCAGTTGCTCAGCTGTGTTATATAATAACAAGCAAATATATAGTTAACTAGATTGAATACTATAATTTATATTCGATGCATGAAAATGAGTCTTTTATAAGAATTGCTTTTTTCCATTAGCTTTTACTTGAAACTGATATTATCAGAGCCCTATTTTATATTTTTCTTCATTTCAATACTACGTGTAGCTTATATTTCACTGCAATTTCTGAATATGAGAAGAAAGATATAACAAGAAGCCGCGAAGATATAAACCACACTACACTATCCCTCTATCTTTTCTCTTCATTATCCATAAGTGTAGTGTACTTAAATACTTAATTTAATTGCAGATAGAAATAAATGGTTTAACAGGCGTTGTCAGGTTTGATGAAGATGGTTTCCGATCTGATTTTGAAGTTGATATTATAGAGCTACAGCCTCATGGTCTTGAGAAGGTATAACTAAGAATCTTTACTAAGTGACACAGTAATGTAAAAAAATGGATTAGTTGTCTTCACACATTGCTAAGTTTTAGAATTTATCTTGGAATATAAATGGTTATAGTTTTTACGTATATAGATTATACATTTAGCCACTATATTTAATATAGGTTGGATCTTGGAATGCTGAAGATGGATATGTCAATACAAGAGTTGTAATACCACCAGCCGAATTGGAGGGTTCTGATGCCATGAAAGGAAAACATTTTATTGTTCTTACTGCTTTGGTGAGATTTGTTTAATTATAGATTTTTCAACTGTTATAGATATATTGATTTTTTGCAAATATTTGATTAACAGAGTGCACCTTATGGAATGTTGAAAGAGTCATCCGATAAATTAGAAGGAAATAATCGATATGAAGGTTTCGGTATCGAACTCATTGATGAACTAGCAAAAATGAATGAGTTCAACTACACGTTTGATATACAAGCTGATGGAGTGTACGGTTCACTAGACCCAAAAACAAAAAAGTGGACAGGAATGATGGAAAAGATAATGGATGGGGTAATATAAATTTTAGTTTAGTTTCTAGCTTTTAGATATTGATTTATTTATATTTACATATTAGTCAAATGTGATCTTAAATTCAAAGTCTTTTTTGCAGAGAGCCGATTTTGCAATAACAGATCTCACTATTACTTCATCCAGGCAAAAGGCTGTGGACTTTACCAGTCCCTTTATGAATTTAGGTATAACTATATTATATAAGAAACCAACAAAGCAGCCGCCGAATTTGTTCTCCTTCATTTCGCCGTTTTCCATGGAGGTATCTCATTTCATGTATCTTAGCAATTTCTAACTTCAACCTATTATTGTTCACATTAAAAGTTTACAAAATTGTTTGTTATTTTAAGCTTGCAAATGAAAATAATTTATGTATCTTTAATTAATAAATAAGAGTATTATTATACCTATAATTTTATTTCTTTAAGGTATGGAAATCTCTTGGCGGAGCCTTTGTCGGAGTTTCAGTGCTCTTATTTATTTTAGGCAGGCTAGCCCCTGATGAATGGCAAAACCCATATCCATGTATAGAAGAGCCAGAGACCTTGGATAATCAGTTCACATTGGCAAATTCATTTTGGTTCACACTAGGTAGTGTGCTAACACAGGGATCGGAAATCGCACCAATGTAAGGAACTATGATGTTAAAATGCAAAATAGAAAAAATATTAATTAGCACAATAGTGTATGACTATTAATTACTTTAGTAGATAAATAAAAAATGTTTAAAATCTTAGGGACTCTAGGCCTGAAAGTCATAAACACAAAAATAAGAAACACTATACATTATACATATACATACTAGTATACATATAATATGCTACTGTATTTATAAAAACAAAGTGTGAAGAGAATATACCATATCAGATTAAACTTCATGCGATCGCTCTGCAAAAAAGAACGCTGGTTTCTAGGATGGATCGTGTGAAGGTGAATAGAATATAATAGAATAGAAAATCATTTATTCAAATAAACTTACATTGAAGCACTTTTGAATAGTCATTACATTTTTTAATCTACCGCTCGTTCGGAAAGCTGTCTCATCACAAGAAGAACGAGGAAGAAACTTGCGTGTTGCTCTTTTAAATAATTTTATTATTACTTTACATTTTTAAGTTTAAGTGTGTGAATCACAAGGTTAATTTGATTACTAGGGTAATCACCACTAGAGCTAAATGGCTGTACTTCACGTTCAACCCACTAATGCCCCGACAGGTATACGTACCGTTAGATCAGGCGGAAACTACATCCCACTATCAGCTATTAAATATATATAATATATATATAAAAAGGAACAAAAAATATCATATATTTATATTAGTTTGAAATAAATATCGTATCTTTTTGATATATATAGGTAACCTCTCATTTTTCCATAAGTAAACAAAAACTGTTTATTTGGACTTCGGATCAATTTCAATTCGGACTTCCTACAGGAAATTGAGGTTGAAAAAAGGTTAGACGATTGACAAACAGTATAGTCGGTATTTTCAAATAGGTTTACCACGACAAGATTTACTATTAATATATTTCTGGAGAACCTAACTGCATGATTTGTAGACGAAAACAAGAACATATTTATATCACGTTTGTATGAGTTAACTAAAAAACACAATTATAAAAAAATGCTCCGAAAGATTCAGACCAGACACTCCAAAGAACAGTTGTCGAGATACTGCCTCATTTGTTTACTGACACTGTTTTTTTAAACAAATGTAAAGGCTATCCATGATTGATATCCACTTATTTTGAAAGTGTGCAAATACGGATGTATGACATGAATAAAGATTTGAATTTAGTGAGCAAAAATAGGCTTGAATGATGTGCTAACCCAAATTGGAAAATTACATTCCTGAAAATAACTTCTGAATTCTACATCTTTATTATTACTATCTCGAATGCTGTAATTAATAATGCAATATAATAGTATTTAATATTTTATTACAGAGCAGTGTCTACACGCATGGCTGGTAGTATGTGGTGGTTTTTCACATTGATAATGGTATCTTCTTACACGGCTAATCTTGCAGCCTTCCTCACTGTGGAGTCAAAATTTTATGCCATCAAATCTGTATCTGAGCTCTCTAATAATCCGTATGGTATTAATTATGGCGCTAAGAAAGGAGGTGCCACGTTTAGTTTTTTCAAGGTGAGATGTGTAAAAATAGCAATAATTATCTATAATATATATGTATATGGTATGGGAAAGAAAGTAGTATAAGTATAGAAAATAAAAAATTCGGCATCAGAATATAATAGCAATATACATATTTAGATTTTAGACTATTGTAAGACTATCTAAAAATCTCATACATTAGAATTATTCGACTGGGCGCCAAATTCAACTGGGTGACAATATATTTACTCAACTTTTTAAAATTAATTTGGGTATTAGGACGTTTCTTTTTCCCGATTTCAATTAGGTATTTTAGATATGTTAATTTTTTTTTAATATACTATAGTCTACAAATGTACATATCACATATAATATATTGTTTGTATTTCACATGTAAGTGAAAAGCTATAGCTTTTAAAGAATTTAAAAATCTGTATCCAAGCTCCTATTACTCATTAAGGTTTAATTGTAGAATTGTAACATGTGTAACCTTTTGTCGGTTGTGAAGGCAGGCTTCAAAGAATGGGAACTCTCTGGATTTCTTTTAATTTCAGTTTCATTTAATAATTTATATTATGAATGTGTTCTTAGGATTCAGATAATATGATTTATCAGAAAATGTTTAAATATATGGATGAACATCCGGAATTTCAAACAGCGACTAATGACGAAGGTCTTGAAAGGTTGGTTTTGTTTACCATTATATATAATATATTACAGTTAAATTATAGATCACAACGAATACAGCAGTTGCTATTTAACTTTAAAGCTATACACAAAATAAAGAAAAATAAGATAAATTCACTGGAAAATCCCATTTAGGGATTGTGGATTATGTTACAGTAATCCTTCTGCGGACAGACTTTCTACATAATATTTTTAAACTACATAATTATTATATTAATATGTCTAGTAAAGCCTTTCTAAAAGGTTTTATTTGACGACCTCGGTGGTCTAGCGTTCTAGCACACCGCTTAGCGTCCGATGGTCGCAGGTTCGATTCCTCGCACGGTTGATTGATGAGTATGATTGTTTGTATCGGTCTGGGTGTTTTCTATGTATAATATGTATGTATTGACGGAAAAAAATATCTATGTACTTGTATCAGTTATCTAGTACCCGTAACACAAGCTTTAGATACCTTGGGACTAGATGGCGCTGTGTAAATTGTCCTGAGATTATTATTATTTTAAACGAAAAATAAGCGCACTGAGGAATCTGACACATTATAAGTTTAATGAACCTATAATAGTATATGGCAACAGAATATTAATACGTGCAAATTTAAAAATTTTAAGAAATTGTCGTCGATATTCTGACACTGTGCCATTTACTTTCTCTAAACAACATAAGCATATACTTAAATATATTATTGACTTGTAGAAAAGAAAACTATTTAGTTACACTAATTCTAGTAGGTATATTAGTATTATTTCTTACAATAACAAAAATATCATTAAAAAATATGCATCGAAGTATAATTTAAGTAGGTAATTAACCATTTTCAGAGTGAAGTCAGATGAGGAAAATTATGCATTTCTAATGGAGTCTACGTCAATAGAATATATGGTGGAGAGAAACTGCGATGTAGCGCAAGTAGGAGGATTATTGGATAGCAAAGGATACGGCATCGCAATGAAAAAAAGTATGTTTCATTTTTTATATAATTTTATTCCTTATTTTCTCATTTTTTATTGTTTTATAAGTAACCATAGTCTATGTTTCACATGTTCTCATACGGATTCCGTTCAGTACTTTTGATTTAATTTATTTTGTAAAATATTTTACTTCGATACACGGGTCTAATTTGTATATTCAAATTATTTATATAATGACGTTATTCATTAAATAAATCTTTTTTTTTTTCCACTGAAACAGAGGAATTGTTTAGAACCGGTAAAACTAAAAAAACATAAGTTTTTTTAGTTTTATACATCTTTTTTTAAGATTCTCCGTATCGGCAGCCTATGAGTGAGTCAATACTCCAGTTACAGGAAGAAGGCAAATTAACAAGGATGAAAGACAAGTGGTGGAAGGAGAAAAGAGGAGGTGGTGCATGTGCAGTAAGTGAACTTATTTATACTCATAAATATATACGTATTTCGTACTAACATTAGATATACTAGTTGAGTTTAGGCATGACAAGAGATACTTATGACATATATTACTTGACTTTTATAATAATTTTAATATCAATATTTTCATATCTTTCCCACACACTTCAAAGACCTATATTATATATAGTATACTATATTTAGTATATATATAGTATATATGTAGGTCTTTTAGACATACAATTTGATACGATTATTATTTAAGTCAAAATATATCAAATGGGCGGGACTATTTACTGTTAAGTTTACATGTTGTTTACACGTTAGAAAAGAAAGAGAGAAAGAACATTGCAAGTAAAAAAAGATAGGTAGGTATATCAGAAGATACCGAATTCTCAAACCATTCGTTTCAATATTGATTATTATTGTTTGTCTTATAATTTATTATACAATGCATTTTAAATTATATAAATAGACGTTTTTATTGACCTCTGTCTTTGTAAGCTTAATGGAAATACAAATATATCTGCATTTTATCATTAGGATGAATAAATAACAAATTGTGCCATTACAAAAGCGTAAACCTACATTTGATGAGACCATTAATTTTGAATTATATCTCATAATTTATTACTGCATTAAATCAGACCAGTCATTTCTATAAGTGAATATAAGGCCGCCTGTTTAATAATTATTTTTATAACTTTTATATTAATAGTATATAATTCTACATACAGGCGAATATAACCCATATGCTATTATAATATTGATTTTTAGACTAATCGGATATTTGTTCAGACGATACCAAACAATATCTTCAAGGTTTTATTGAATATTTTAGCGTATATAATAAAAACTAATCTTATTATGTTGAAATATAACAAATCATACTTTATTTATATATAGCTACTCGTCCCGGCTTACGAGTGTACATACATTTATTATATAAATAAACCTTACTCTAGAATCTCTCTAATACCTACTAAAAAAAGCCATTTCAAAATCCGTTGCATAGTTTTAAAGATTTAAGCATACATTGGGACAAACAGCGACAGCGACTTTATTTTGTACTATGTAATGATGATAATATCATATTATCACAGACATGTTTCAAATATCACCTGATAATGCCTGCCTACTAATCGCAGCATCTAAATATCTATAAGCTATAGGAGAGCGACTTTTTGATACTTATCTTTTATTTGAATCGTACCATATCAAATAAGATGTTATTCAATAAAAATATTTCACAAATTTTTAGTAAGAAATCTTTCGCGGAATATAGAACTCTGCAAAGTGTCGTAAAATTGGAAAAGTTGGTTGTTCCCACGACTTTTTAACTACGCATATGAAAAATCTAGTATAAAACTCGATAGTATCTTTTACAATTATATTTAATATTAAATTTCCATCTTCGTCAAAAGAAAGAAAAATATTTTGCTCAATGACTTATGTCACTTTAAGTTAAGATTAAAAATGAGCAGTTAGTAAAGGTTGGTATTTCTTTACCTAAGTTACGTCCATTAAGGAGTGCCAATATTAATTTGAACCATATGATCGTATAGTTCAAATTAATATGTGCAATCTACTTGCTGCTATGTTAGGCCTGACCTTTGTATTAGTTACAAGATCCTATTTCCGTCTGTTTGATATACTAAAACTTTAATTTGTCAACACGCTGGCTTGAAATTAGTATACTGTGACTAAACTTTACTGACTGTATTATAAACATTATTATTTTGTAGTGTTTGTTTTATTACATTTTCTGAATCGAAGAACAAAAATATATAATTGGGTTTTTTACTTAATAGGTTAGTCCGAGAGTAAAATGCGTAATGGTTCAATTGATATAAACTTCTTTAGTGACATCAGTACGGAAGTATTCGATTCAGCTCATTATTTTAAGCTACGAGTATTAATCAATGAACTAAATCTATTATCGATACCGTGTACCAATAATAACTTTAAATTACATTGTTCAGGACGACGATGCAGGCAGCGCAGAAAGTCAAGCCTTAGTACTAGCTAATGTGGGCGGTGTATTCATTCTTCTTGCTGTTGGTTCAGTATTTGCTTTTATATGTGCAATCTTTGAGATGATTTTTGACGTTTGGATCATTTCTAGAAAGCAAAAGGTATATTATAAGATATTAAATATTTTGCCATCTTGTAAATTTTTACTGGATTCCATCACTAATAGCTTCACAGCAAACGATAAGATTGATCTATACAAATAAATGAAATTGAAGTTTCTATATGTAATTTTACACGTCTATTGTGCTTCCTGTATTCATAAACCTCTTTTGTAAATCTTACACCGCATGTTCGCATAAATAATATAGGTATAAAGCCATGATTGTAGGTAGCAGTAGGTTGCGCTCTAGATTAGACTGGATAGTACCACCAATATTCTACAACGGTGTTACTGTGACTTACACCGATATAACAAATTATAATTATGCCTCACATTAATGAAATTTAGAATGCACTTTTCATTTCATTCGCTCAAACGTCTCCAATACTTTCTCCCATTCAATACCAAAATTATGCTCGCTAATTCTCCTCCCCGTTCTCGACTATGCCGATGTTTGGTATCGAACGTCTTCAAAACCTAGCCATCAGATTCATCTTTGGTCTGCGAAAATTCGATCATGTTTCTGTTTTTCGTAATAAATTAAAATGGCTCCCTGTTCGTCTTCGGCGTGATATGCATATCCTTTCCACTCTGTATAATATACTCTATGATCCCAATTCTCCATCGTACCTCCGTTCCCGGTTTCAATTACTCCCTCCACCCACTCGTCCAAAACGAGCATGTCAGGTTCAGTCTAGAATGTTGAAGCTTCCTACATGTAGAACCCATTTTATGGGAAATTCATTCTCTTTTAGAGCTGCTTTTTTGTGGAATAATCTGCCAATTCACATTCAGGAAAGTCCTTCCATCACCACATTTAAAAAAAGATTAAAATCTCATTTTCTCTCCATCAATACATGACGAGGTTTCAAATGTAATCATTATATGTAATAGTTGCTATGTATTTGTTTAGGTATTTATATATGGTTATTTTATTATATTTATAATATAATATTTATTTATTATATGTATTGTATTTTATATATTTAGTGTGTGTATGCTTTTTTTTTTGTTTGTTCTTTAAGTATACATTGGAATATCTATAGTTATGTATTACAACCACTTAAAAACTCAAGCACTATCGTTGCCCGCTAATTACCACCTCTGTCACAGCGTTAGGTTGGCTGGAAGAAATCTCTTGCAGAGATAAGCCCGCCCTTGCTCACAATTTAGTATAACTGTCTTTGTCTATTAATGTAATAAGTGCAATAAAGTATATATATAAAGACCTATATTATTTATGTTTATTAAAATACTAACGGTAACTTTCAGGTATCTTTTAAAGAAGAACTAAAAGCTGAATTAAATTTTATATTAAGCTTTAGTGGAGACGTAAAACCGGTACGACATCGAGAAAGTAGTAGTACCGGATCGGGAGGTTCTAAAAAAGAAGAAAATGGAGATGATGCACAGTCTGGTAAAGACGTTGATGTTGACCAGGACCGGGCACCAACTCCACGATCAGAACGATCTACTCATTCACATCATACTTTACATAGCAGAAGGCAAAGTAACGCGGTGCAAATGGCGAGAATGCGGAAATTTAGTAGAGTATAAGTTAATTTATATTTTTAAATCTTACTTTAATGAAAAGGAAAGAAATGCATAAAATGTCTATGATTTAATTACCTATCTAATATGAATGTAGCACTTAGCCTCTTCAGTATATTGCAGAAATATATAAAACTTATGCATTATTTAAGAAATATAATGCATGTAAATCAGTAGCTATAAATAAAAGTGAATAATTTCACTAGTAAAATTAAAATAATAAAATGTATATATAACGACCCAAAGAGGATTGGCATTAGGCAAGTAGCTGGTCGTAAAAATATAAAATAAATTCTATAGTACCTAACATGGAAAAAAATATTAAGGTAATGATAAAGGGATATCGCCAGTAGTAATAAATTAAGTTAAGAAAATACGTATTGTATTTGTCAGTTTATTTGTAATAGTATTTAATAAATTGTATGTTATATTATATATGTTTTCAATAATTGTTAATTTTCAAATTTTTTTATTAAATAATTACCGTTTTATATATTTTTAAGCGTTAATAAACTCATTAAAAGTTTGCCAATTTCCCATTTATTTTTCAACAATAAATTGTTTCTATTTCCGTAGCAAATTGATTTTACGCCATACTTGATGTAAGTTATTTGTTGTAACCAATTCCCTCATAACACGTGTTAGACAGTTAATTAGTACTGGCCTGAGAAATGCGGCTTGTCACCACTCAATGTGTCTCGAGTGAAGAGGGTGTAACGAAGCCACTTTGATTGAGTACGCTGCGAGTTGACTCTGGGGTCATTCCTTTACTAGAATAGTTAGCCACGAGATATGATATGAGAGAATTAGAAGTCAATTTTATTTTCATTAAAATGGTATATTTAGTTAATTATCAGCTATTTATGTCCGACGCTTTATTTATTTCTATTCTTATAACTGTTATCAATAACATGTTAATATAATGTATGTGGTTACATTAATATTTAGGGTGACTATTGTCAAAATCGTATGGTCCAACAGGAGTATTTTAAATTAGAATCTTACTGACATACAACTCACAAAATAAATAAGTCGGTAAGTTTCTTTACTGTTTGTGGTTGAAATTTAGATGCTGAATAAAGTATTATGTAACTAGAGCATTAAGTTAATAGATTATGTTTTCTACGAGGTATATGTCAGTAAACGTCTATAAGTCATTCTAGGATACTAAAAGTTATAAGTTTTGTAGGCAATTTGTTTTGCTAATGGAACCACATGAAAGATCGTGGTCACTACAGGCGGTGTCCATTTCGAACGATAAAATAATGGTGTTATGTATCAAAATCTTACGTGCTCGCTAAGCTTTCACTTGAGTAAGCAATATCATAAGACCCTTTATATATTTAAACCCATTATATTTTCAGAGGGTTAATAAAAAATATCCGGCGAGTCAGAAATATATTGTATTATTGACCAGATACAAGCAAACGCAGTGTTGATGCTCGATATACAATACAACTGACCTAATTATTTAAAAGTTTAAATATTATGACAAAGTTGCAATTAACGACTTCCAGTGTTAAGATCTGTAATTACTTAAATGTATTGTATGTTAATTGAAACTTCAGAACATAAAAAGAATACACAAAATATATTCATAAAAAATAAATTTATTCATAATAAAATTAATAAGATCATTGGAATTTATTATGTTAGTAAAAATATTAATAATAATTTATATTGTTATAATATGTCTAATACAATTAGAAACTAGATTATATAAATTATATTATACTGTATATAAACCCGCGCTTTAATCTGCGTATACAACATGCTCTTTGGTCTTCCAAATTACATTCAAATGGACGCAGAAGTTCACGTGTATTTGAGTTACAAATATCCAAAATTTTTAAGAAATTTTATATACCTATAAAGTTAGTAGCATTAAATATTTATTAGTAGTGCCATATTCCTAAGTTACATGACATAGATTATACATTGTTTTGTTCGTAATATTACTCAAATATCTGTACCAAACTGCGGGTATAACTTTCGTAAGTTTTATACCGAAATAGAATTCCTGCGTAAATTTGAAGATAATATTGATTTGAAAAAGATACACGCTTTAATAATGCTTTGGATTTCATGAACTGAATTCAGGATAAATGTTTTCATTCTCGGAGAACTCGGCATCTATCTATATTAACACAATCGCGTATCCTTACCTACTTTGGTCACGTTTCACGAAGAAACGACGCATTCAGAGAGCGGCTTGTTATACAGGGTAGGGTAGATAGACGACACTAGACCAAGTGGACGATCACCCATGCGATGGACAGACTAATTCAAAAGGTAGTGGAAGGCGGTGTACCAAAATAGCAGCCAGCAGGGAAAAATGAGGAGCTGTCGTAAGGCGGATGCTATCTGCCACTAACTTCACTACATAATGACTATCGTTATGTGAAAAAAGTATCGAAGTAAGAAGAAGACTTCTTACGATATCGTCTATGTGGGTACCTCTGTGTCGCCTCTTTCATCCGCTAAGAAGCTTACTTTGTAAGATATGTATCGGTTGGAAAGTAAAATGAAGTAATTAAATGAAATGACACGATTTCTTATCGTGTAACATAATTGTTTTATACAATTTTCATTTTTACAATGACACGATATTTAGGCATGATATCTTACTCCCCCAGAATGGCATTGCAGAAGTATCACGGGCATCAGATGATGACGTGATATACCTACTTGGTGTTTTTCTTGAATGTACCCCTTGTATGTGCCCGTTTAATGGTATATGTTAACTATCACCTGATAGTTAACATGTATCTACCATTAAATGGACTACCTTATGATTATTATTCCAATTAGATAAAAAAGTGGTATTTATAATGGATAAGAAAATCTTACAAAGTACTAAAGGTAATAAAATAAACATTAATAAAAAAATATTATCTTAAGATTCACAGTGATTATATAATATGAAATAAGACGATTATATAATATAAATAAGACGTACAGGAATAGCTATATGATTAGACGCCTCTTTTCTATTTGCATTATTGAGATCTCTCTGTTGGTAAAGAGAGAAATGGAAATCAAAACATATATTGCAGAAGCCCACATTAGTGCAGAGGTCAGTGAATAAGTTGATTTCTGAATAATGGACACTATGTGAGACCTAATTTCATCTCGCCGTCTTACTTGACAATAATCATAAATAATCCCTTGAGGCAATGACACGAAGGGGAAAAACTAGCCATTAGTTCAGAAAAAAATTGTAATAGTAGCCTTTATTTGTAACAGTAATGTAATTTCAGTTGTGATGGGCAACAAAATGATCCTTGGATAGTATGGAGTCATTACTATATTTAATGTACATTCTGTTATATAAAAAATAGGCACTTATCAAATAATAACATTTGCTCGTTACGTGGTTTCAAGTTTATTGTTTTTTTATCTAATAGGAATAATAAACAAACTTAGTTTACCTTAGTGTAATAAGTGGTGATCGTATATACAAGAACAATACGATGGAAATCACGTGATCATCTGACAATCGTGAAGTAAAACAAACATGTATTAAAATCTTTTGAGTTCACTTCCAATTGAGCGAAGATGTAATATGTTTATCCAATTTATTTAGGAATAATCTCGTCTTTTCGCAAAAGCAATACTAAGTCCTGCCGAAGAATGTCTAGAACTATGGGAATGACAGGTCCTCCTAGATGAGGTAGATCGACCTGACCTTATCGATCTCAATGATCTAACTTCATCTTTTCCTTCGACTTCTGCTAATGCCTCGGCGCTGCCCTCGTCAGTCTTTGGTGGCCTCTTGACTGGCTTTACGTCACCGCTGAATTTAAGAGCGAACTTCAATTCTTCTATAAGCTCGTATTTATAAGTGGTCTATAAAATAAAAATTTACAATATATTTTTGTATTTAGAATATGAAGTTACTTAATCATGAGCCACAAACTTACTAGTAAAACATAAGTAAAAAAACTGTCTCTCATACATATTAATACTTCATCTGCAATAATTATTATCCACTATTTAACCCCCTTCAAAATTATATTTTAGAACTAGCTGTACACGCAACTTCGTCTGCCAATAAAAGTCCCGTCAAAATAGGTCCAGCCATTTCAGAGATTAGCCGGAACAAACAGACAGACAAAAATTGTAAAATATGTTATTTTGGTATATGTACCGTATTTATATTCATATGAATGAAGTAAAAAACGTACAATTTCAAACAGACACTCCAATTTTATTTATATGTATAGATAAAAACTGCATATATCCTTCCTCCACATACAATCAATCTTTCTTCATACCAAATTCCATTGATACCTACCTTTTATCCTTTTCATTATAAAACGGTAACAAACAGACCGACATACTTTTACAGGATATTGTTAGTTAGATTTGAAATTATTAGTATGAATTAGCTAGTTACAAATAAATGATGTTTCTTTCTTCGAAGTCACGATTTAGGGGCTAGTATATTTATTTATACTTAATTTACATATAATTGAGTAATACATACATTATATTTGACAGAACGTTTGAAAACTGCCCAGAGCATGTCGAGCGTCGATATAAGTAGACCTATACAACAACCAACGCCCAATACTACAAATGCACCCAACATGTTTGTCATAGTAAGCTGTTTTTGTTCTACACTCACTTTTTCCTGTAAAATAACATAAAAAATAACTTTAACCATTTAGTAATAAGAATCGGACTAAATGCAATAGATAAAGCTTGTTAGGTTTTAGCATTCATACTATACATTGGCAGTGGTTGTAAGTACATATATGATATCTTAGAATGGGTAAAAAAAGCAGACGGATAAGCCTAAATACAATCCGCTCTTAGAATCCATTAAATTTTCTTGTTCATTGAATCTTGGGCGTTTTGGAATAGATTTGTAACCAAACTCTCCATAAGATACTTAAGTTTCTTAGAAATTCTGTTGTGTGTGTTTTCTTTAGTCAAATAAGTGGAACATATAATCCCACGTAATTTGATTTTTGTATTATTTGGAAATATTTCGAATATACAGCCTTTATTGGATATTATTCTAGTGTTTTCTTTTTATCAAGTATAATGGAAACTAATGGAAATAACTTATGAATAGACCAATATAAACAATTACACTCAGGAATACAAATTGTAGATAGATGTGATTCATGCAAGAATAAAACCTACGACTATTCGAGCAGAGCGAGACGGTGTGCTCAACCGCTAGACTTTTTTATCTTATTTGTCACAAAACGAGATTTAATAAGATAACTTACACCACATTTTCCTCCACCTCTTTTTTCTTTCCACCAAATGTCCTTTAATCTTTGTATCTCGCCCTTTTCTTTAAGTTGCAGTAATGCATCATCTATGTACTTCTTATACGGCGACCCTAAAAACACAGGACATTAATTTACATAATGAATAATTCTATTTTCACAGACTTATGAGTTTATCATGTAAAACTTACCCTTTTTCATTCCAATGCCATAACTTTTAGAGTCTAACAATTCACCAAATTGTACTAAATCACAATGACGTTCTTTATAATATTCGATAGACGTAGACTCCATAAAGAAAGCATATGATGATTTTTCTGCACTAAAAATATATATAATTTATTTAAGTAATTTTTCTATAAATTAACTATATTCACGTATTTCTATAATGCACTTTCGTTGTCAACTTTTTTACTTATTATTATTATTATTATTACAGATTTGTGCTTTATTTTATTACTTGTATTCTCTATCTATATTAATCTGGTAAATGCGAAATGTTACCTGCCTATTTGTTACCTTTTCTCGACTAATGACTGCACAGATCTTTAATGAAATTTTACTTGAAGAAAACTCAAATACAATGCCATGGGTAATAAAAGTGTAAGCTTGTTTTGAACTTGTCAAAATAATTAATTTATTTTGTAAAGGAACAAAATATTTTTTTAATATCCAGACCTCATTCAGAACCGATGTTATCAACGTCTATGCATTACCATTGGCTTTGCGGCGTGAAATTACTATATTATTAACTAATAATTCTTCCTATAAAGAAATAACTGATCATCTGGATGAATGGTCTTCCACGTGCGTAACTACATAATAATGACATCGATATTATCGTAACGAACGACGTATAGCCGCATGTTCGTTTATCCCCTGTGTTATATATATAAATTACTAATTATTAACTTTAATTCTTCCTGTAAAGAAACCGATGCCTATATCATTATCATCCACTAACCATCCTTTTGAACTCATTTTATTAAACATTTTTCGGAATATTTTATTCGATGATTTCTGAGAAACAAAAATATATCATTACATAGTATAAAACAAAGTCGCTGTCGCTGTCTGTCTCTATGTATGTTACAAAGGATTTTGAAGTTTTTTTTATAATGGATAGAGTGATTCACGAGGAAGGTTTATATATATAATACATGTACACCTGTGTGAAGCCGGGGTGGATAGCTATTATTAGATAAAAGTAAGTATTATAATTTTATTTAGTTGAATTAAGCATTCTGACAATTGAATTATAACTTGCAAAAAATTAACATTATAGACATAATTTCTATCAAGGAAATTATATCTATATTTAGTTATGAGGCATAAACATAATTTTATAATAATAAAACTACGAATTATGTCATACCACAACTAAAAGGATGTTAATTTTTTGCACTGAACGCAATTTATAATTATAACGTGCTTGCATCAGATTTTCATATTAACTTAGTTTTCACTTTTAAAACTTATATTAAAACTAAACTATAGACTACCTCAACCCAAACTCGATTTCGTATTACATGCCGAACATCGAACCGGATGCTATATTAATCACCTGATTGGATGCTGGGCACTAGAGACTTCCCGTGTTTATTATGCAATTAATTTTTTACCCATTATGTGAATTTGAAGTAAGTTACTACTATTCAACTACAAGCATATAGGAGAACGTAGTGATTTAGTGAGTTACTACAATTAACTTATAGAGATCGAGGTTTTCCAATCTGGCCGATTAAAATATTCAAGGCATAATATGAGTAGCATACATAGGTGTACATATCTATAGGCGAATTCCAGGTGGCTATGAAGTAGTTACTCGTAGTCACAAAAACAGTTATACAAAAAAATACAACTTAATATAAATAAAATGTCAAGGTAGTATAGTAAGTTAACAGTAACAAAAGTAAAACCTCAAAGAATTGTAAAGTTGTTCCTTTGCTCTTAGCACCATATGAAAAGGTTTTGTGATCTGCTAATTGTTCCACGTTCTCAAAAGGCATAACGTCTTTTTCTACAGTTAGAAAGGCTACCAATGTTCCAACATAAGATGCCACCATGATCATTGTAAAAAACCACCACACGCTAGTAATCATTCTAGGTGCTAATGCTCTGAAAAAATAAATTAAGTAAAAAATATATTAAATAGTATTGCATTAACAAATAAATTATGATATAGGGTATAGGCAAAATACATACACATCAATAAATTTCGGTATGTACTCAATATAGGAAGTATAAACTAATAAATTTTCTAAATGAAAAGCAAAAGAATTATTATGTTCATGTACTGTCTTTTATAAAATTCCTATTTATCTGTTTACCAGTATAATAATTTTTATATCTAAAGTAAGCGTGACATATTTGTAAAACTGAAAGAATTTGGTGAATATTTTGCTATCGATAATGACACTAATAAATATTTCTGCAGCGAAATTCGTCGCTGCATAAATCTTAATATTATAATACTTACATAGGTGCAATTTCTGAGCCCTGTTGCATTACAGAGCCGATAATTAACCAGACAGAATTGGCAAAACTGAACTGGTTGGTCAACTCTTCGGGTTGTTCTATACAGGGTACAGGATTTTGCCATTCCTTATGTGAAATGCGACCTACGAAGATCATAAGCACACCTAGTAATAGCTGTATCAATGTCATATAATACCACACCTGTAAATAATGAAATGCAATATATTGAATAATATAATATATGTAGTACTATTTGAATGTCTAACTTAGTGATACTATTTATTTATAGAGGTAGGAAAATTGGCTTAAGGCAAAATCGTTATGTATAGTACGTACCAGTACATATAACAATTTGGTTCTTTTTTGTACCGGGCTAACTCGATTCGTACTCGAAATATTAGAAAAAATAGACACATATAGAAAGCTAAGCCGAAATATAATTTGAAACAAAAACATTGAGTTGTGAAGTCATATTTTGCTTTAAATATTGTTTATATTTTTAAATTTCAGGAAATAAATATAATATTAACCACACACATCTGTTATATAAACTAATAGAATTAATTTAAATATTTACTATTAATATCTGATATACCTACATCAAATAATAAGATTGAGAAATAAAAGAATGAATACCTCTTTAGAAAATACAGCCATAAATGAAAACATTTCCGGCGGTTGTTTACGTGGTTCCTTAAATATTATACTAATACCCAACGTCATGAAGGGTGTAGAAAAATCTATGCCACTCAATCGCTGGGTTGTTATAGTTAAGTCACATATTGCTAAATCGGCCCTCTGCAAAATATATAAAAGTATATGTCAACGAGTATCATAGTTTAGAATACAGGCGATTTTAAATTATATAACTGCAAAGTAAAATAGTACCAGGTGTATGAAAACCGATTTTCTTTTATGTATGTGATCATCTTGATTTTATTTCCACGCTGATTTTATTTCGCTTGACTGTAAGTCAAGTTGCCTGTAAAAGAACGCTTTGAGCGATAAAGCCGCCTTTTGTTAGCATATTTATATTAATGGTCGGCAACACATGTGACCCTCCTGTGGTTTCAGGCGTATAAAGCTACAGTAACCATTTACCATCATATGGGCCGTATACGTAGTACAAGCTACATAGTAAAAATAATTGTTTAACATCTAACCCCTGTGACACCTCTCATGACCCTTCCGGTGGAATAAGATGCCATGTACCTATACACTGTAATTTCATACTAGCTATGTATTGGTATGTAATAGATAGATAGATTAATAAAATATACTTTATTTGTAACATACAGTACAAGAAAGACAAACAATATATTAAAGAACATATGTATAAGTACAATAAGGCTTTATTGCTGAAATATCTGTAGTATTGACATATGTTCAGCAACAAATGTGCAATGCTATGACGATGAATGTATTGAATAAAGTGAAGTAAAGTAAAATACCTCGTCTCTAAGTTTCAGTACCATTCCACTCCATTGTCCTGTTTCTTTACTCAGACTCCCATAATCAGTTTCTAATTCAAATTCGTAGTTGAAACCCAATATTCTTGACAAGTATTCAATTAGGTCCACCGCAAAACCCTCATATCGGTCATTTCCTTCTAATGTCTCTGTTGTATGCTTAATATATGTATACGGTTGCGTCTAAAACATTTATTTTATTAGTATACATAGAAAAACAAACGTTTTATAAAGTTTCTCAACAAATCAAGGCGAAAGACATTAATGGAACATTTTTTAGGTCTCGGACAGTTCGGTTACAGAGCTGCTTACTCCGGCGTACACTTAGATTATGTAATGATGAATGAACTATCTGCCGAGGTTTTTTCAAGAGACTACAGCATGGTCACTTCTTGAAAAACTGTGTTTCTCACGAGACACAGTTTTTGAAGAAACATATATGAAGGTTTTTAAAAGGCAAAGCGCATGTGACACCAATGGTGTCTCAGGCGTCCTCAGGCTACGGTAACCATTTATCATCAGATGGGCCGTATGGTTGTTTGCTACCATCATAGTATAAAACAATATTTTAATATAACCTGCTTTACATTTACTTACAGATATTTTAAAATTTATCTGATTTTTACACACAAGTAACTTTGATGAGTAAATGTCATAAGGCATAAACAACATGCAGTATATGCAATGACAATAGACAAAATAAATATAACAGACTGATTCATAACAAACTTAAACGCTTACCAGACAATTTATTTATATTAACTATAATTCATATTTCTGCATTATGTACTTATATCTCATTATTATTACGTCATATAGAGGCTGAGGTATGAAAGTGAAACTAGAGTGTATGAGCTAAGTTATGCTCATACACTTATCCTTCCTTAGGAAATCACATATTATCATAGGTATTACAATTGCAGTCCTGTAAGGCTACAGTTAGCCTCTCCGTTGTTTTTACGAACATAACAAATGTTCGTAAAAAAGTTCGTAAAAATCCCAGTGCAGTCTTTATTTTTACTTTGAACGCCAATAATTCAATTTTTATATTCTGTTGTTGTCTTGGGTTAACAAAATCAGTAATACCGTGCAGAATCAAAATTAATTAATACCTTTGAAATTAAAACCTTTATTGATTTGTTTCTCATTGCCGATTCTATACCTATTTCAGCATTAGGTACAAACGGTCTCTCTATAACAATTCCGTTGGAATTCCATTTTCCGACCTGAAAAATTAAAATTAAAATTAATAACACATAAAAATCTCACGTAATCTGATTTACTCATTAAAAATGTGAGTATCTATATCTATATATGTGTATCTAATATACATCTGACTATTTGTTGTTACTTTATTACAATTTACCGACCGAATGAAACATAATGAAAATTAAGTAATAATTTATATCACGAGAGTGGACGTAAATTATCTTTCCTACATAAAATTAATATAATATACTTTATTTGAATCGACCGACTGATGAAATCTACGCTCCGTCCTACACCTATACAGATCCACAACCCCGAAAGCTTTCAGCTAGAATTGCAAAACCGTTTCGAACGCCTTGGTGACTGCGTTGACGTGGACGATTACAACAACAGGTTCCTGGAAACTGTCCGTGCGGCTAGGTCTAAGCACTTCAAAACCCGCCCCGCAGAAAGAACCGGAAAAATATCTATCTCTACCCTCAAACTGATGGATGAAAGGCGAAGTATGATCCTGCAGTCTCCGACTGACGCTTCCCAGTATCGGCAACTTAGCAGGCAGATCACTAAGTCCTTGACTCGTAACTTACGCCACTTTAACACAAATTGTGTAAAGGAGGCTATTGAGAACAACAAGGGCTCAAAAGTCTTTAACAGGGATCTGGCTGCCGGACAGAGACAACATTAACGGCGAGTACATCAATCACCTTCGATTTGCCGATGATATCGTGGTCATGGCTGAGACCCTGAAAGACCTTAGCAAAATGCTCGAAGACCTCAGTAGAGTCTCACAAGGAGTAGGTCTTAAGATAAACATGGACAAGACGAAAATTATGTCAAACGCCCATGTCGGGATAAAATATAAAAATCAGGGATTCTACACTCGAAATTGTCGATCACTACGTATACTTAGGGCAATCCAGCTAGGTAGATCCAATTTCGAGAAAGAAGTCAATCGTCGAATCCAACTCGGATGGGCAGCGTTCGGGAAGCTCTGATATATCTTTTCGTCCAAATTTCCGCAGTGTCTCAAGACGAAGGTCTACGACCAATGTGTGTTGCCAGTGATGACTTATGGCGCAGAGATGTGGTCGCTAACTGTGGGCCTCATGAACAAGCTCAGAGTCACTCAGAGGGCAATGGAGAGGGCTATGCTCGGAGTTACTCTCCGTGATCGAATCACAAATGAGGAGATCCGCAGAAGAACCAGAGTGACCGACATAGCCCGAAGAATTGCGACTCTGAAGTGGCAATGGGCAGGGCACATAGCTCGTAGGACAGATGGCCGTTGGGACAGTAAAGTCCTCGAGTGGCGACTACGGACTGGAAGACGCAGCGTAGGAAGGCCTCCAGCAAGGTGGACCGACGATCTGGTCAAGATCGCTGGAAGGCATTGGATGCGAGCAGCGCAGGACCGATCGTCGTGGAGATCTTTGGGGGAGGCCTATGTCCAGCAGTGGACGTCTTCCGGGCTGAGATGACATAAAATTGAAAGCACATACAGTTACGGTAGATAACTAGTGTTTAATATATATTTATAATATAAAACCAGATAACAAACACTATAAAATTAAAAGAATTATTATTATATCTAGCGGCATTTTATGCGTATTTACAACAACAATTAAAAAGTTTTAAGGATAATAAAAAGGAAGAGATTTTATTAGCAATTTTCCCTTTCACGTTTGCGTTTCAAAGTCAAAAAATGAAAACTAATTAATATTAGAGACGGCAGAATTTAATCAATAATTGTAATGTTTCTATCTTTGTCACATTTTTCAAATATAAATGAATTTCCAAGAATTTATATAAATTGTCTCGGTCCCGGTTCAAATCTTACCGCTTTATCATTTTTTTTTTTTTTTGTTTATATGTATGCTGACATTTTTGTTCATTAAGTTAATTTTGTGTGTAAACAATTTTTTTTTTTTTTCTTGTACGAAAGATAATTTTCTAATCATATATTATTTGTAATTACTCATTACCTAACATGTGTAGTCTTTTTCCGTTTGTTATTTTATGTCGCTAATTGCCTTAATGTAAAAGAAGTTTTAATTTTTTTTTTTTTTTTTAATATATATTATTATTATTTTTGTTTTTATTAAGCGACAGTTAATCAAATATTTGTCTATTGTTGTTTCCCTTTTACTTTTTGTTTTATTGTAGTTCTTTTACGTTTTTACTCATGACATAGCATTACACAAGTACTTTAGAATTAAAGCGGTAATATTGTAAATAGTAGTAAATAGTAGTATTGGTTGTATATGAAATTAATCCCTTTAATTTTTCACGAAATAGAGGTGAATATAATTATGTATTATAGGAATAGTTTAAAAGTATTCGTATTTTTGACATTTTGTAGTTATATTATGCAATTTAAGTACGTAATAGTGTTTCATGGTGGAATTATACATTGCGAGTTTTATGGTCTTCGTGTTTGTTAATTTAATTGCAATTATCATATTATTTTCATTATGAGTGACCAAGATAGGACATCATGTCCACATTGCCCGCAGTCATCACGGCTTTTTGCAGCCCCCCATGGTCTTAGAGTCCACATTGGCCGAATACATAAGACAGTACTGCCACAGCAGACTACCCCAGGACCTATATCACTAGATACTAACGTGTCGGCTTCTCAAACGCCCTTGCTGTTGCCAAACTTTGATGAGCTCGCACATATGAAAATGAATATCAGAATACTTAAACACATTCCTAAAGGAGCCAGAAGTGTGGTAGCTGGAAGGCTATCACAGGTGATTGAGCGGTGCCTTTATTCCAACAGTAGGGAAGATTGGTATAGACTATTTACTTTTGCCTTCTCTACTTTAAAGGTTCCCGACAGTAATGATAACCGATCCCTTACTACTAAAGTCAAAGAAAATGTTAGTAACGAGATTATTAATTTCTTAGATGCGGAAACTCGTTTTAATATGCACTCGAGGCCAATATACAGCATTATTGAAAAAAGGGTACATGAGGGTGACTTGAGAGGGGCCGTTAGACTTTTGACATCTGATAATGGATTCGCTCCTGGGGATTTAAACACTCAAAACGCTTTAAAAAATAAGCATCCAGCGCCTTCGCGTCCATTAATTTTCCCCCCAGAGCCAGATCACTCATGTCCTGCTCTTGAGGTATCGGTTGGGGATGTCTTGGAAGTTATGGATTCTTTTTACAGCGGGTCAGCTGCTGGTTTAGATGGACTTCGACCACAACACTTGAAGGAACTTTTGTCTTTGTCTGCAGGTGACAACGGCATCAAGTTAGCGAAGTCATTAACTAATTTATGTAATTTTTTGCTGAAAGGGTTTCTTAATCCCGAAATTTGTCCTATACTTTACGGTGCTTCGCTTTGCGCTCTTAAAAAAAAAGACGGAGGCGTTAGGCCTATTGCCGTTGGAAGTGTAATCCGTCGCTTGGTCGCTAAATTGGGGTGTCGCGCTGTAAAACCCATGTTATCTGCTAAATTGCAGCCTCATCAGATTGGCTTTGGCACAGCTTTAGGTGCCGAAGCTGCTATTCACGCTACACGATCATTCACTGATAACGAAGAGGTGTGTGGTAGCCATAACATAATTTTAAAGTTGGATATCGAGAATGCTTTTAATAGCTTGGAAAGAGATGTGATATTATCGGAAGTGAAGGACTGTACTCCGAGTCTATATCCATTTCTTTATCAGTGTTACTATCAACATAGTAAATTATTTTATGAGTCAACGTCGATCTCATCGCAAGTCGGAGTACATCAGGGAGATCCGTTAGGTCCTATGTTGTTTAGTCTCGCTATACATAAAATTACTTCTTCTCTTGAATCTCCTTTGAATGTATGGTATTTGGATGACGGTACGATTGGAGGTGGCGTAGATGTAGTCTTAAAAGATGTTCAAACCATCATTAACAAATTTAAAGAGATTGGCTTAGTACTAAACACAAAAAAATGCGAACTATTCTTTTGTAATGCACAAACATCACTAGGTGAATTACATCGACTATTACCGGGTATTAAATTGGTAGATAAAACCAATTTCACTCTTCTTGGAGCCCCTATTTTTTCCGATGCCATTACTATGTCTTTAAAAGAGAGGGAAAATATTATTTTAAAATCAGAGAAAATTTTATTAAAACTATCAGCACATGTTGCATTAAGTCTTTTTCGAAGTTGTTTGTCCACGCCGCGTTTAATTTATATTTTAAGAACATCTCCAGTCTGGTTGTTTCCCGATGAAGTTGCTTCTATTGATAACTCTATTAAAAATATCTTAGAGGGAATCTTGAATATTAAGTTGGATGGAGATCAGTGGCTACAGGCAGCTCTGCCTATTCGACATGGAGGTCTTGGTATCCGTCGAGTACAGGACATTGGCCTCGCAGCTTTCCTGGCGTCTTCGCATGGTGCTCTAAACCTCGTCACTCGTATTTTATCCTCTAATGGTGACGGGTTTATTTTACCATTTGTGAATGAGGCTACGGCTGAGTGGCGGTTAAGATGTCCAGATCAAAATTTACCTGAACAGCCTCAGGTTCAAAGAAAATGGGATGACATCCTGGCTAAGATCACCTTGGATTGCTTGGAGCGCAGTAGTTCTGACGTCGACTTGGCCAGGATCAGAGCTGCTTCTGTAAAGGAATCTGGCTTATGGCTTCATGCCTTACCTTCACCTCACTTGGGCACTTTATTAGATAATAACTCCTTGCGTATAGCGATAGGGCTTAGACTGGGATGTAATATCTGCGAGCAGCATCAATGCATATGTGGGGCACAGGTGGATTCCAAGGGACATCATGGACTGAGCTGCTTGAGGTGTGCAGGAAGATTTCCAAGGCATCACGCTCTTAATGATATTATTCATAAGGCCATGAGCACCGCAAACATCCCTGCTGTTTTGGAGCCGGCAGGGTTATGTCGTACAGATGGAAAGCGACCTGATGGTCTAACTTTAATCCCATGGCATAAGGGTCGCTCCCTGCTGTGGGATGCGACGTGCGTAAGTACGTTTGCTGCTTCTCATCTGCGGGACTCCATTAGTCGGGCGGGTTCAGCAGCGGAGTCCGCAGCCAGGCTGAAACACGTCAAGTACGGGGTCTTGGAGACGACGTACTTATTCGTACCGGTGGCTTTCGAAACTACTGGGGTGTGGGGGGCGGAGGCAAAAGTATTTATAAACGAGTTGGGGCGGCGCATTGTCGACAGAGGCCATGATCGACGTTCCGGATTGTATCTGGCGCAAAGGATTTCCCTAGCAATTCAACGTGGAAATGCTGCGAGCGTTATGGGAACCTTTAAGCCGGGTACGATACGGGACAATCATAGCAATTAACTTTTAGGTGTTTTTTTTTTTATGTTTTTTTTTTTTTTATTATTATCTGTATTAATGTAATTAATTTTAGGTTTAAATAATAACATCGATTGTATCTTGTGGAATAATACATGAATAAATAAAGGGTTTTAATAAATTGTCTCAAAGGATTTAGTCATTTAGTATATTATTATTTTTTTACAGTACACAAATAGTACACTAATATTACTCATTGATATTAGAAAACTGTAGAGGATATATAAATTGTTGATTGTAACATAAAAAAATGTGTTTTATTTACCGTTTGGTTACCAGCTGGAGTAAGTTCTAATATATCAAACGTTACATTATTTCTTTGTCCAAAACCATCAAATAGTAACGTTCTAGTGATACCTTCTATTTTGTTCTGGAAATATAAAATAATAACATATTTGTTACATGGTAATAGGTTTCAGTTTACCATTTATACAATGATTTCTATTCAAATATTAAATCAACGTCCTGGTTTGTTGGTTTCTATCGTAACTTATACCGAAAGGTTATTTCGAATTTTGCCGACAACAAAATATTTATGTATATTTATAAATATAAATATTTTGACTCTCTGGTGATGTGAACATCGATAACAAACCAAATATATCTGAATGACGACGGTAAGTAGCGACATGTACTTTAAATTGTAGTGTATTTATATATATATATACATCGATAGTTGACCATCATAAATTATAGAAATGTAATATGCACCAGAGTTAGAAGTAGAGAATCACTTATTTCAGCTCAATCACTTATGTAAGCTATGTTTCGGTCGACATTGGGCAGTAAAATTACAATAACATGCAAGAGATATCAGGTGTGTCGTATGATAGATGTTCATACATACTACATGTATGTCACGGTTACTGCTTAGAAGGCAGTCCGTTTGTTTCCAATCATACAATCTAAATTAACGGATTAGATATATTGATACTTACAGTTCTCATAAAACTAAGCAATGTGGAGCCATATTTCCAAGAAACAGCATTATCACAACTAAGCGATTCCGTTCTTACTCTTACTTGTTTCATGGCCGCATGGAATACTTGAACTGCATCATGAATCAATATGCTTTTGGTTTTCATTTCTTCTGACTCAAGGGCCCTATCAATACCGGTATTGATCATATCTGTTAATTGCCATAGTCGTTCATTGTTTTGTAAATCAACTAACCTGAAACCTGGAAATAGTAACTAAGATAAAATATATTAAATAAATAGACGAAGGTAGATAATATTACAAGTACATATATTTATAATATAAATAAATTGTTAATACAAATAAAAAGATAACAGAATAAACCATTTTTATAGCTATATAAAAGTAAAACCTTAATCTAACATTTTTATCGCATTTTTATGGATTTAAGTTCTCTTCAGGGTGTTGACGATGATGTTATGTAATCATTCGTGGTGTGAAATCATAGAAAAATAGCCGTATATTTAATTACAATAATAATAAATTCAGGACAATTCACACAGCGCTATCTAGACCCAAGTTAAACTAGCTAAAGCTTGTGTTATAGGTAATGGATGACATACAAATGCATAGATATATATAATTTTTCGTAAATGCATAATACATACATATTACACATAAAAACAACCAGATCGATACAAACGATCATACTCATGAAAACAAAAATTTGTGCCAAGTGAAAAATCAAACCCGCGATCATCGGAAATAAGGCGGTATGCTAAACTGCTAGACCACCAAGGCCTTCAAATCACTTCGGTTGTTTCAAATCATGATCTAAGTAAAAATTAAGCAAGTAATGATTTGAGTAAAGAAATTGAGCGTTAATGTCTTACGGAAAATAAACTATTTTACTTGTATTAAAACTTTATGCTATATATGTTATGACAGACCGTCATAACGTACATAACAGTTTCGAATGACGATAATGAGCCCTATCGATTGGTATATTTCCTTAAACGCTATTTAAAGAAATGTCTTTTATTTTCAACATAGTGTGAGGTAGTAATGTGACAATTTACTAACCAGTCATATTGACTCCTCCGTGTCTGTACCTACTGAGGTCCAGAGTAAATAAGTCTGGAGATAAGATGATGTAGGAATGTTCGTCAGCCATCAGGCCCACCTGCTGCGCGTGTTGAAGCAGTTGTTCCAAATACTGCAATGGGCAATCTACTACGAAGTTTTTGTAGCCATTTTTTTTGGCATTAATTAGGACGTCCCTGTAAAATGGTACAATAAGCTATATTGTTATAAAATTTACCACTAACTGATTTCACTTTCATAACTATAAAATGAGTATTGATTAAATTTTAGTAAAGTTTTTATTTCTTACAATCACGTTTTGTTGTATTTTATTAAAAAGATATTGTATTGGATGTATTTTATTAAAAAGATATTTCTTACTTTTAATTAAAAAATATCGCGCATAGTTTTTAATTCCAATGTTAGGAGTTACTGACCTGTAGTCATCTCCACTTAGTTCCCTTACACTAACCGTGTATCGATTTGTGATATTTCCCATCATTATCAAACTGTTCATACGCATTAAACTATGACCTTTTACATACAATAAAGTGAAGTTGTCCCAATTCTTCTCCTGAATTAACTCTTGTAATACCTTAAACAAAAATACTCGATAACTTAAAGACAAGATATCGGTGTAACACTGTATCTACTTGACACACTGTACTCAATTGTTCAATGTTAATTTTCTAAAGTAATAATGTACTCGTATTAAATAACATTAATAATTTTATAATCATTAACTATAATTAACATTTACTTGAATAGTATGATTTTTCAAACAAAATTAGCGATATAAATGTTTACTTTTATACCTAACTTGTAACCTTATCAACAAAAATTGTAATTAAGCCTCGGCACGCTTAGGTACTATAAAACACTATTTACATAAGAACAATACACAATTATTGATAATGAATGCAATCTAATCCTATTTATTTGTGAGGATGGAGAAGTTTGAGATTTAAAGTATTTCTAACATCCCAGAGCTACGACATACGTAGAGTTGCAGGTAATAACTAGAAGAGAAGGGCTGAAGGTCGTGCCCAGTAGCATGCCTTGGGAGAGGCCTACGTCCAACAGTGGACTGCAGTGGTTTGATGATAATGTGTAACTTTCTTACCGAATTGTACGCTTCTGGGCTTGGATACATGTTTAAGACAGACCAGTTTTCAGAATACCAGTCATTGTGCTGAACAACGACATGAGGCAATTCCAATACGTCACATAACGTCTGAATATTTTCACTGGCACGACCACCTATAGCATCGATAATACCAAGAACTCCTTCCTAAAAATTAATTCGTTGAATGAATTGATTTAATCATAATTTATAATTGTTATATGGATTTATATAAATCAGACATATATACAAAAAAAAGTAAATTTCTGAAAAAAATAATCAGCTATTGAAATTGTCTTCTCTTTGAACTTCTTAATTCGTCATAAAAAGTATAAAACATTCTAATAGTCAAATTGGACAGTTAAACTTTATATGTATAAATGTTTCTAATTAAGTTTCTAATTAAAATTCATGATTATTTTATTATGATTATAGTTTACTTTTAGTTAATTAAAATATTGCCTATAAAAATGTTTACCTCTGCGAGTTCACACACATTTTTGGTGATGTCAAGTATTCCTCCCGTCCTGGATATCTCTTTGATGGAAGCCGTGAAATTATAATGATCTGCACTTTTAACGAATGCAGTTTTGAAATCTTCCTCGTAATTGTAAAATAAACCACCTAAAATCCAAATTGAATTATTCAAATATTTAATGACAAAATTTTTTACAAGTATATATCTTTACCATGTAGCATACACATTAGAATCTATATAAATTGGAATACGTATCATATGCTGCATGTATACATTTTGGTGCAAATAAACAGTGTTATCTACAAATACTATAAGACACCATCTAAACCAAGAAGCTCCTTCTTAACCTCCGACACAAAATGGGTTTGCTAGAAGTTTGACGTGTCAGCGTGTGTGACTATAAAATCGTAACTCCTAAACAGATGGATCGATTTTAACGTAGTATTTTTAAAGCTGACGTGATCGAGATGGTTTTGCCTACAATTTATTGGTTATTTATCAATGTTTTCTAAAATACATTTTATTTTATAATTAAAATATATATGTACTAGTTTATATTCATTTATCTAATAGAAACACAAATATCATCCTTTTCATATTTTATGTATATAATAATGCATAAATTGTATAATACGTTTATATTTTTATAATAACTAAATAACTATTAATTTTATAACAATAACGCTAGACAGTAATAAAAACAGTAGAAACATCGTATAACAATTAAAATATAAAAAATATTGGCAATGTATTATATCATACGAACTAACCGATAACAGGTAGAGTGTCATCAGCGTAAACATGTACCACTATGACTAGTAATGTCAATACTTTCACAACCATATTGATTTTATAAAAACACAATCACCGATGATCACATGTTGCAACTTTTTGTCTTCAAATTATACGTGAACATTAACGTTAACGAGTTTACGCTTTGTGGCTAACATAGTAATTATCTTAAGTTCAGTTAATCGTTGTTTTAAAACGTCGTAATAAACGTTCCGCCGAGAACGGTAGACTGATGTATAGATTCGTATCGCTGCGGCGGCGCGCGCGACACACGTTTCAGAAATAATCGCGGCCTATATTTAGGACGAATTTTCCTGAAACGACATACTCTAGCGATACCGTCTGTCTCGCTAGACGTGAGAGTGACAAGCACAAAAAGCGATGCCCGGAAATCTACAAGATTTTTAGGTTGTTTTTTTTAACCGGTTTTATTCTTACCCTACTGGTAAATGAAGGATTTCGTATATATGATAAGAAACAGGCTGATATGGTGATGCATATCAGCCTGTTTCTATGTACAATTGAATATGGATCTTTCACAATACCTTCCAGCATATGAAGAATGAATTTTTTTAACTATTTATAGTCATAAATAGCTAATCTGCTTAGTGTAGGCTTTAGATAAATGTAGGTAACTTATTCAGTAATTAGAACGTTGGTTTCATTTGAATTTCTTTTTTTCAAATATTGTATGGCCAGAAAAAAATATCAATCATTTTCCAAACATTTATAGAAATTTGTACATTCAACAATTTAAAATTAAATTATTGAATAAAAATGCCATAACTCTGCAAATGATAATAATGGATTGTAATAATGATAATGTTATTTATTTAGACTCAGTGTCATACTGTAATTATCATATTAATTATATAATATAAACATTAATGTAATTTTTTATATGCCAGAAACTGCAGAGAAGCTTCGAAATAATTATAGTTTTAAGATCATTATGTACACATGTTCCAGTAAATAAATAGAATAATTAATATAATTTAATTGAAATTTCTATCTTTACCTTTAGCAACCCTTTAAAGCTAAGTACCTACCTTTTAGTAGTTATAATATAATTTTGTAAGTTCAGAGTCTACATAAATCCACACAAAGCCCATGTGTCCAATTTGTACTTAGTTGAAGTTTACAGATGGTGTGCGATGTTTGCCACATTTCCATAACCTACTTATTAAGTGCGAGACTAAACAATCGTTTTACGTAACTCTTTGATGAGCTCTTTCAAATCGTATAGGAAATTATCTCAATGACTATAAAAGATGTTGAGTAATACCACATGAACGTGAACTGTAGTAATATTTTTTTAATAAAATAATTAAAACAATAACTGTCACAAATGTCGTAGTGATATCGGGTTGTGTAGTTGACTTCCTGAAAAATAAGGCTCCAATGCATCGGGTTTTAGTGTGTTATTAATTAGTTTTGGAAGCGAATGTACGAGTATAGAAGCAAAACACTTCATCTGTTATGACACTGTCTGTTGTCTAAACGTTTTTGAAATAAAAATAAGTTAATGGTTCATTTCATGAGTGGTATTCCTCTATTAATAGTTATAAAATCATGAAATCGTGTTATGCCTACATATACAAATTTACAATATTACTATTTATTATGATGACAATAACTTTATGAAATATTAGGTAGGTAGAATTAAAGAGATTGTAGAGTTTCAATATTAATGATAATAATTAGATAAATGAATTAATCTGATTGGCAGTTTGAATATCGATCGATTAATTCTATTTTTAATTATGTTTAAAGTAAAGAAAATATTTAAGAATTAACGAAACGTACTTTTAAATATATTATTCCAATAAACTAGCGCAAGTGCGAGCAATAAGTTGGCAAAGTTTTATCCAATAAGATCGGTATTTACGTAATAGTATAGCATCAAATAAATATTAATGCCATGCCATATTGTGCTTCCTTCTTTTACTTAATAATTTGGAATAATAAACGAGGTTTTTATGTACTCTGAATATTACTTGGATATAAAATATAGCTTTTCAATAAAAAAACTTGAATACATGAGAAAATACATAACTTCTAATAATGATATATACATTATTTATATTATAGAGATATTGACATATATATTTGGTTTATCAATTGTTTATTTGCAACATTATGTTTTAAACGCAAAATATTAGTATGCACGTGACTTGCTGCCCAATGTTGAGTCACTGGACGTGCTTCACACGCATGATGTTCGCGAGAATGGTGATAGCGTATTATGTGTTTCTAGAGGAAAAGTCACAATAGATAGTGATACTAGATTAGGGATTTTGTTCCCAAATTTGGGGTGTATTGTGATAATCGGGAGTAATTTTAAGGAACAAGTATGCGGGACAAAAAATATTAGTTACGGTTATTTTCTAACTCATCGAAGTAGAATAAAAACACGCCTTGTACTTAAACAAATTACCAAAATATAGTAAAAGGCTATTAAAACATTCGTAATATTGGTTTTTTACAAAAATTTGGGCGGTAAAGTCAAATTGTTATGTGACAACACCGCAAGTGGATTTTCAATATGCATTCAAACGGCGGAGTGATCGCAACAACGGAATATCTTATGAGTTAACATACTGACATACTTAAATATACGTTGATTTGTTGTATAATCTACCACTATTATGTTTTATGTACTAGCACAAATCAATACTGTCTTATTAAGACAGTATATTCAGTATATTCATAGATATCAATATGTATCAAATAATAAAATATCTCTTGTTATACTATACTTATTACACCATTTTTTTCACTGTCAAAGATAATCGTCACCAGAACTCCTTGTTATTCATCAGCACAATCTGATTGTCGTCGTATTTTAAAAAAATACTTAAATTTCATTATCTCTCTCTGTCTAATACAATTATACCTAACTTTTCTTTTGTTCCATCCAATATGTGGTATATGATATTTGTTATATACATTATTTGAAAATTACAGTACAGTGAAGTACAGGAATTCACAATGGACCTATCTGTAAAACCTAATAAAATTTTTACGAGCATGATTGAGTAACCTTTGTATATGGCTCACTGCATCCATTATTCAGTAGTGTTTCAAAACCACTGCTGTAATGTAGAAAATATTATTTGTGTATAATACAAATAATATTTTTATAGTTTTAATAGAATTAAATGTTTGGGTTACGAATATAAATGTGTACAAATCTTTCCATTTTTGCTCTTTCAGTGTCTACACGTTGTATTGTAATTTTCTACTTTATTATAGTTAAAGCGTACATTATATTATATTTAAATTATAAATTGTATGTTATAGTACCTGTACAATTTTTTCAGTTGCAACTCAGTAAATGTTGTTCAAAACTCACTTTGAGCTCTTATTGTATAGTGTATTTTTCATATACATATATCTATGATATATATGAAAAATACATTATTCTCGAGTAGAAATAGTTTAGTGTAGACCGTTTATTTGAACAACTGTCACAGAAGAAAGTATGATGACCCTGTCCAAGTAACGTAGTGTAAATTCAATCCTAATGCAATATTTGTCAAAATACGCCGTATATGCCAACTTTAGTCATTAAGGCATCAAATGGTAATAAACAAACTCACTTTCGTATTTTATGATGTTAGTAAGGATTCTTGATTGATGGAGATTTTTTGGTAATGGAAATGATAATAAATGTTATTATTACAATATCAATGAGGGCGCGTCAAGTAAATTATGTTTACACTATAAAGTGGCTCTTGCAAAAATTAATGAATTTTCTGTTTATGCAAACATAAATCTGTTGACAGCACGACTATATGAGAGGAATAAATTTTCATTAATGTTTTAGTTTATTTTTTATACCTATTATGTTTATGTGAAAGTAGCCGTTGTCCGTATCTTTACACGCAGTATGTTATTGCATTATTGATGTAATGTACTTTTGAGGATAATTATAAATAATAGCCTAACGCTACTTCTTATAATTTTTTCTGTGGCAATTTTATACTCTGTTCACATAATTCATAAAAAAGGTACAATGATTACTCTTCGCGTATTAATACTCTAAACTAACTGTAAAACTAATATTCTAATGTTGATATTCATACTTTCACGATTTATAATATCCTAGATGACGTAAGATGCAGATAAAAATTTTTCGAATCGTTAGACAATATTTGATATACTGACTTAAGAGATAGATCTATTAAACTCTAATAGGGCAAGTAGCAAGTCTACCATTGTCTTTTTGTATTAATGTAATTTGTTATCCCAATAAATATCGATATAACGTAATGTATATTGATTTTGATTATCCTAACTACGTTGAGATGCTCAGTGGATTTTCTTACAGAAAATTTAAAACTACGTAATGGATATTGTGAAAGTAAATAACTGCAAGTAAATACTAGCACATTAGTTTAAAAGGTCAGTTCAGTCTTTTCTTGCGTGGGAACATTAAATTCAATCAACTGCTATCGATGGAAGCTAAGACGCTGTTGTTTTTATATAATTTAAAGGTAAATGAATAGATACTATTTACATCCTTTTGTTGTTTTAGACAAAATTGTCTATTATAGAAAATTTATTTTTATTGAATAATAATAGATATTTTTCATTAATAGATATTTTTTTCACGTTTCTAGTATTATATAAGCTCTGAAAACAGTGTATTACACGATTATACTTATAATTTAGTTCAGTCAATGTGATGTGATGCTATTCATTCCTAGTAATCGGTACTGGCCAGGACGCTACAGCGATCAAGGTACTCATATGTAGACCGTAATTGTACTATTTCTGCACAAATCCCAAAACATGTACTTACTGCCTTCACGAATGACAATCTCATAACTTTTTATGTTATATTAAAAATAATAATATTACATTATTAGCCAGACGATAAATGAATATCGTTATACAATTTTATGTATGTGCGTAGTACTAATATTTCCTATTAATCTCTAATCTATTACTAGTCGTGTCGTACTCCTAACTTAAAACTAAATAGTTAGAGGATACAATGTAAGAGTCATGATATCTTAGTGCTCTGGAATGACAACGCATGGTTGGTATCGCGACTGTCACATGATAATGTGAATTGTTACACTTATAATTACATTTACAATATCATTGTTCATACAAATAACGTAAAACCAAAGTGTGCAAAACATAAACTGCTTTTTTGAGATGAGCCTAAGTTCGTCACATAGGTTTATAAAAAAAGAAGACAAAGTGCCGATTTACATC